CTTTCCCTTAATTACGAGTGCTTTGAACACCATGGGCCCTTGTGGGATGCTGCAGGGAGGCTTTACTGCACTATGAGAATCGATTCCTTAGAGCTCTCCTCTGTCTCCTGTTTTTTAACCACCCCACGAGAGACTGCAGGTTTACTTTGGGTAAGGGACTGTGTTGAATGCCTTGTGGCAATCCAAACCGGCAGTATCGCATCAACTGCTGGATTTTTCCATGGTTACCAGTGAACTGTTTAGAGAGGAAAATCTGTGATCTTGAAGCTCTCTACAATGTTGCAATGAGGGAAGAATTTAGCAATATCTGCCTTCTCTAGAAGTTAACTGCTTGTAGGCCCAAAGCAAGTGAGCGTTGACTGCCGCAGACAAGTATCATCCGCAGTCATCCCTTTTGTAGGGGAATTGGTGGCAAACTTGATGCGGGTGAGTAATGTCATTTGCACTACCACAGCTGTGACCCCTGGTGGTTTGAATGTACTTGCTTACTCTCAAAGCCAGCACTTATTTTTGCCAGTTGCTTGAGCCTTTTCCCCATTTTTCTCTCTCTCTGTAGGGGTGGTGCGTTGTTATCTAGTCCAAGTGGGCCAGGCTACCACATCATGCTCCCGTTCATTACCACGTTCAAATCCGTGCAGGTTGGTATCTTCTCCTCTTGGAAGAGGGTGAGTGAGTGGGAGCAGATGTCAGTAGGGATATTGGTGGATGGGGGGCGACTTGGGCAGGTAGTGCTCGCAGAGGGGCTCAGCAATGTGGTAGTCAGAGCAGCAGCTCCTAGGAAGTCCTTGGTTCCTTCTGCCTTAGGTGCCACGAGACCCAGCTGTGCGCTGGGACTTGTCCTTTTGGTGGAATCTGCAGCGCGCCTCTGTGTGTTGCTTGGGACAGGACGTGTCTTGCTCTGGGAAGACAATCTGTGTTTGTGGCCCTGATTGTTTCCCAGGAGAGCTGCAGGAGCTGAGAGCAGGGAAATGAGCACAGCTGCCTTTCTGTCTGCCAAAAGGCAAGTTTAAAAGAAGTCTGTCTTCTGCCCGCACCTGCAGAAGTCAGGAGGGAGGCAGAGAAGACGTTTTTTTTGGCTCCGTGTTCCTGTGTTAATGGTTGTGAGAGCCCGGGCACAAGCGTGATCTTCCTGGAGAATGGAGAGGTTTTGTGAGCACTGGTTGTCTTTTTATTTCAGACCACGTTGCAGACTGATGAAGTGAAAAATGTGCCTTGTGGGACAAGGTATGTTCTTCCTTTGTATTTCTTCTGGTGATGAGCAAATGCACTCTGTCACGTAGTTTGAAGCTAGTCATTTACAGTGCTGTGACATAGAGGGTGAAAACTAAAGGCACGTACACTAAAATTAGTCCCAAACAGACACACAGACATCACATGTGGAAATAATAGTGCAGGAGGTATGGGAAGGAATGCTCTTGCTTTTGCTGGAATTCGTGTTCTCAGGGTATTTGCATTTATAGTGATAGTCTCTTGATTTTTCTTGGTTTCTTCCCTTGATTACTACTACCCATTGCTCGTGCTTTGGTCTGCCCTCTGCCTTGTGGTATTTTTGGTCTGAATTTTGTGGCTAATACAAGTGTTGACAAGTGACTAATGCAGTGGGCAAAAATAAATGGTGAATGGGAATCCTCCTTGATGGTAGATGGTTTGTTTCAAAAACAGCTCAAGGAAGTGAGGCTCTTGGAATCCCGTGGGCATTTTTGGAATTGACATTTCACCTGATATAACGAGAGAGTGAGAAGGAGTAAAGAAAAATCCTGTGCATGGGTGGCACCTGCCTGCTTCATAATTAAGCTGATCCTTTTTGCAGCACAGATGTGTATAGCTTTAACAAGGAGACAGAAGGAGAGGGCTAGTTGAGCTGGGTTGCAAATCCTGTTGTGTTGGTTCATTCACAAGTTAAAGTGATGACTGTATCTGTTTCTTCAGGATAAAACCAAAACCGGTGATTCTTCTTGTCTTTTAGCTTTAGGGTATTCGACAGTATTTCTGTTAAAAAAATAAAAAAACAGTCAAGATGACTTGAATGATGACAAGTAAGGACCATGTAGAAATTAAAAGTTGAACGTTAGTTACAACATTAATAAGGCAGAGTTAATTTCGATCTGGTTTTACCCTTATTGAAATGAGTTCCTGGAATTATTCCTAGAGCAACTCATCAGACATCACTTGGGCTTAAATACTAACTTAAAGTTGTCGTGGGCTGGTTTTAGTTTTACGTCTCAAAACTCTTTCAGGATTGTCTGTAAATAATGCTAGTGTTCAAGTCCTGCAGCCAGGGCGTTGTGGTCAAGCGAAGAGACTTTAGGTCAAGCGAAAAGTAGTTGCAGGAAGCAGGAGTAAGACTCATTGTATTCTGTATCGTTTAAATGGAAAAGCTAAAAATAAGTCAGCAGAGTTTTAGCGATGTGTTTAATGGCAACTTTTAGCTCATAAGTAGCATAAATCGGACTAATACTTCACCTGCTGGACGCTGTAAAACAGCATCCCATCTTTGGGCCAGGGATGGTGTCCTGCAAGCCTTCCCAGCACACCAACCAAAGCTTTCCGCTGAAGCTTAACCACATTAGACATGCTAACACAGTCAAAATTAAACGGTGCTGCTTTGACCCTGCTTGAGCAGGGAGGTTGGATAAGATGACCTCCAGAGGTCCCTGCCAGCCTTGACCGTTCTGTGCGTCGGTGATTTAGGAGCTAAATATTCAGTTTAATTCTGTAGAGTTAGTTCATTAAGCTCCTGTTACGTTTCTGCATGGCAGGATTCGGTTGTGCAGTACAAGTGGTTGTGATGTTACAGGTAATAAACGTGCTTTAAAACACTAAACAGCTGGTGAAGCCGTTCTTAGTTAATAATTGAATACGCTTCAGACTAAAGGTCCTGGTAGCGCTCTCCATTTTTAAGGTGTTACTGCAGGAGCCTTTAAATTTGCTGTATTTGGGGTCAAAGTCTGCAGTGGCTCCATGCCAAAGCTTTGAATACACATTTCCATAACAAAATGTTAGCTTATAAATAACAAATGGATCAAATCTGAAATTTTGCTCTCCCAG